CATTCTTATTTAATCACAATACCATTTGATTATTCTGCCGAAAAATAAGTCAAGGCCTGGCGATCTCAGAAAGCTTCTAATGTATTTGTAAAGTAAGCTCTAGATTTACAAAACCATAGATAATAGATAGATTCGGGAGAAATGATGTTGTAATCTTGTCATGAAGAAGAAGATGCTCCCCACACTCATGGAGTTGCTCTGAGGCTATCCAAAGAAGCACGAAAAGCACATGTTGGATAGAAATATCATGGATCCAGAATCATCAAAGCATCGTTCAAAATAAAGAAGAAGGGGATCACAATGAACGTTATCCAATGTTGTGCACCCACCAATGATAGCAATGACGACAATAAAGATCAGTTCTATGGGAGGCTACAATCAATCATAGCTAAATGCCCATTAAAAGACCTGATCACTCTGATGGGAGACCTAAACTCCAAAGTCGGAACGAATAACAACGTATATGAAGGCATCATAGGACGACATGGACTGACTTGAAGGAAGAAACGAAAACGGTGAGAGATTTTTAAATTCATATGCACTTAAAAAAGTGGTTATATGTGGCACTATATTCCCCCACAAACACATACACAAAGCTACATAGGTCCCACAGGATCACACCACACAGGACCAGATCGATCATATCTGTATCACTAAACAATTCACTAGGTCAATAGACGACGTGAGAACCAAGAGAGGAACTGTTATAACTTCAGATCAACACTTGGTGGTTGCCATGATGAAACTGAAGTTAAAGATACACTGGACAACTGGAGAAATAGTGTTACAAAGGTTCAATACAGACTTTCTTTGAGATACTAACAAACTCAACGAATTTAACATACTTCTCCAAAACACGTTCCAAGCCTTACAAGATCGACCCAAAGAAGAAACCATTATGGAGGACAATTGGAAGGGGATCAAAAAAGAACTAAATTCAACGTGTCATGACATGCTGGGCCACAAGAAACATGATCATAAGGAATGGATTTCTGTGAAAACCCTGGATAATATTGAAGAAAAGAAGAACAAGAGAACAGTAATTAACAACAGCCGAACAAGAGCAGAGAAAATCAAGGCAACACTGAATACCTAGAAGAAAGCAAGCAAGTGAAGAAGAACATTAGAGCCGACAATAAGAAATATATGGAAGAGCTAGTAACGACAGCGGATAAAGCTTCAAGAGAAGGAAATATGAGACATCTAGTTGACAGAAACTGGAAACTACTGGAAAGGAATGCCCAGGACAGAGCTGGATGGAGAATGCTGGTGGGAGACCTATGCTCCTCCACGAGTGGTAACAGGTCTATGTACGTAAGCAAGATAATTTTCATTAGTTTATTATTATTACCATTATAATGACTGGTAGATTTTGTCAAAAGAATATATAACAGAGTAGGAGAACTTATCAAGAATTATAATGGTATTTTCACTATTCATTTTAAAATTTGTATCTTACAAACAATTAACTAACTTTTTTAAAATTTAGTTCGAATGTCTTATCTTAAAAATGATCCCTCATTAACCTGATTATTTCATGGAGATCACATTCATTAACAGGAGCTTCAAAACAAATTTTATCAGCATATCTAATCATAGAATGTCCTCAGTTGTGTTTGGTAAACCTATGTAATTCTATGGTGAAGATTTATAATAAATCACTTTGTCTCTTAATATAATCAGTATGAAATAATAATACACCGAAAAGGAATTTTTAATTATTATTCAAAATCTAGAGGTTGAATTATCTGGTTATTCTAAAAATAAACTCTCCAAAAAAATCATAGAAGAGGTCATTTTTAAGCATCTAGTCTCTAACCATTACTCAACTGAGAAATGAAATCGTTCAAGATCATTCATAAACGAATAAGTCGGAAGTTTCTAAAGTTTAGTCCGATCACTGTGTCTGAAACTCGATTTATTTTTACAAAACGAATTAGTCTTCATTCTATTTGTAGCTTGGGTGGTAGAACGACATATTCTTTAACTTTTTCCCTCATTCGGTTACCTCATTATAACTTTCTATTCTATCCAATTCTAGTCCATAATTTCATTGTCAACTATTTAAGCTTCAATAATTTTATTCAATCACATAAGAACCTAATTATATCCTTATATTTATTTGTTAATAACAGTGTTGTAAGATATTCTTTTGCCTTTAATATATATTACCTACATTTGTTCAATATCTTAGCTTTCCACGCTACACTGTGCAGATGAGTCTGTTAACAAAGTCCAAACTAAATCCATGAAGCGATCAATGTTAGACCACCATTGAAAACGTGGGAGCACTGAACAGCCGCTTCGACCTAGGACGGGACCCAGCATTGCGCATTCACGATTCCACACGCGGGGCACATCCAGGCCTCTCGGCCTAGATTCTCAATGTTGGTCCACCATTGATCGGTTCATGATTTTATTTAAAAGTTGACATTCTACACAACACTATACGGACAAATTCACTAATACAATTTTTTCAGTGACTTTACTTGTCATTTTATTTTGAAACATTACGCGTTACAAGAAGTCGTTGAGGGCCTAACTTAATAAAATGAATTCATATAATTCTGCCCAAATTGTTTTTGTTGTTTTTTGTAAATTTGAGAACAATCGAAAGGATATAAAGTTTCACTATCCGTTTATTAACGTTTATATCAAAGTACAACGAATGACATGAAAACGGGAATAATAAGTTTTATTCTATGGTGTGGTACAAATAAAAATCACATCAACTTTGGGGTTTCCTAAATGTCATAATAGACCCTGAACTAAGTAAAGTAAGGTGAAACGGAAAAAAACATTTTGTTATATAGGTTAGTTGAGGAATTACAATGCTTATAACTTAGATTCGTTCCCCAGAGATGTGAGGTAGCATTTTGTTGTGGAGTTCAACAGAGTAAGTATATCGCTTGGTAGTATTTCATTCTTACGTAGCTCAAATGAATTACTTACGAAAACTAGTTTGCCTTTAGAATACCAAGTTGGCTGAATCGATTTTCCAACTCGATTGTTATCATGCCTTATTGTCATATACAAGATTTTTATGAAGGTAAATAAAAATATTTAACCAATCAATGATTACAATGAAAAAGATTGCACAACTACATATACTAGTTAAAAAGTGCAAAACGGACAGTAAGAGAACAGGTGTACCACTATTGATAGAAAAATAAAAAAGAAGTCCTAGTCGGTAGTTTAACATAGGAAGTAGGTCAAATTTAGATAGACCGACTTTAAAGTAATAATCACCAAAAGTTAATAAAATTACTTAATCACAGGTGCACATCTGTTATGTCCTCAAAGCCATTAATCTCATGATAATATGCTTAGTTTGTAGGAACTTTATTAAACCGGAGTAATTTGACTAAGCAGCTTATCTGAACATTTTTGATTGTTAGTAAGTTAACCTCATCATGTGATTGAGCCTACTTCTTCAAACCCAACATGGTATTATTCCAGGATTATCGTTTTTGATGGAGTTTGGTTCTCTGAGCTCAGAGAACCATTACTGTTATCATCAGGAATTTCAAATCCTACTGATATTCCAAAATCTTAATCAATGTTTTCAGTTGTATGAAGCGAAATTGTTTGTCTGATAGTTGAAATGTCTGAGATGATAGTATGATGAGACCACTTCTAATTCTTGTGAAATATCTGGTGAAGCATTTCAAGTATAAGCATGTGACATTTTTTTCTACTAGTATTATATTTTCAGGATTCAGTTATTGTAAAGCCTCTAAAATGTATTTGATAAACTATTTTGTTTTTAATTCTGTTTGTAGAAGTATTATGTTGAAAATCTTTTAGTACAGAAAATATTCAGTCAAAGATAAGTGTATAGGTGTGTTTTGTCTGGAAGAAATACCATACTGTATGTCGCATACGTCTTTATTTGCTGAATTCCATATACATTAAAAACTGTTGACTGTTTTTTGCTTCTGTTAAACTTACACTTTCTTCAGGAGCCTTAATGTATGTAAGTCGAATATTTCAAATTGTGATCTTTCTAAAATAAATTGTTTTTCACTTAATACCCCACAGTCTTTAAATTGTTAAACCCTAAATTCCAAATTGTAAATTTTACGATTATGCATATAGAAAATTTAGAAAACCTACTGTTTTATACAAAGCACAATATTTGTTATCTTTCTCACCCCAAGTTTTCATTCTATTTCTCCTGGTTTCTTTTTGTTGTGATAATGTCAAGGTGCAGTCTACTTTTAAAGTATTCTGTCAAGATACTAAGTATTTCTCACATTTCATCATGCTATTTATCAACAATAATTTCTTTTTGACCGTTATGTGTAAAATTCCTGACAAAAGACTATAGGGAGAATTTTAATGAGAACTTTAATGCTATAAACAGTAACAGTCTTGCATTTTCGAATGGACTATGAATAAACAGATATTTAATCTGTCACATATTATATTTTATCAAATACAAGTCACTGTATTGAATATTAAGAAATTCTTTAAGCATAATATTTATGAAAATGACTCGTCAGTGCATAATGATTTGCCAATGTTCAAATGTACTTTAAGTAATCTGCAGCTAAAACTTGAATGGGTTAAAATGTTTTATATGTGACTGATAATCAAAGATTACGAGATCATAGTCACTGTTATATAGACATGCTATTTTACTGATAATTTTACTAACCCATGTATGGTGATCCTGTTAGGTATTTTAAAATGTGTATTTTAACATGTGATATGGACTTGGTTGATTACCACATATTGTCCTAATTATTAATTATATTGATAAAAGAAATACGTGACAATCGCGAAATATTTACATCACATCAACCAGATTTATAAATAGACTACCAGTTTATGACAAAGTTTATAAGTTACTGACAACTGCTTGATTCAACATGAATATAGTTGGATCAGCTGGGACTAGATTTTAAAGTATTCTACTGATTCATATATATATATATATAATGTCTACTGACATAAGATATATTTATTATACAATAGATAGTATCTAATTCACTTACTCATTTCTAAGGTAAAGTTGAATGAAGTAAATAACTGATATGCGTATTCAGGGTTTGGCTTTGTTCAGCTTTGTAGTTGTTTTAAAATAAAAAACTGAATGACTGACTTACTAATCATAACTTTCTGACTGCTTTCCTGAATAAATCACATAAAAAGTGACTGTGATTAGAAGCGATTCATTGTTTACATTGTTAGTTAGTCTCCGTTCAATACTTAATGAAGTTTGCCAATTATAAAGACAGTTAAAGTATGTTAAATTTATTGTTGGAATCAGATGAGTTAAGTAGGTGGACTTATACTTTTTTTCACAACTAATTTCTATAAATTTCTATTTATAGTTTAGTAGTTAGAGCATATTTTTAAAATGAGAATTCCTTTACATATTGTCAAATTTGTTAAGGTGGTCATAATAATAAATCTAATGAAGTCTGTTTACTGGTAGCTCTTGATTAGTTCTTGAAAAAGACCTCAGAAACTAGGAAAATGGTTAAAGTACTTCGTTCGATGAGATTTCTCTAGAAACTCCTTAGCGCGTTCTGATTAGATAATGAACGGTATTCTCATTAACTTTGTCATGTTTCTAGACACTTCTGCAATCTTATATGCTAAAAACTACCCTTGTTTTCTGTACATGAACTAACCTTAATAGTAAAGCTTTGTTACTAAATTTCACCTTGTGGTTTCCTGTTCATAGGTCAAAAGTAGAATATTTCTGGTATTTATATTTCGACAATGATATTTTATGAAGATAATATTCATCATGAACTAGTAAAAGATGGTGTTTGTGAGGTTAATTAATTAGCTATAGGAATGTAACGTATCGATAACGTTTAAAGTAGTGATCGTTGTTCATTATAAATCGTCTAAGGTTGAAAGATTTTATCATTAGATTCCTAAGCAGAAAACTGATTCTTACTGTAAAATATGTGTTGAAAATTCCATATTGTACGAAACATAATATCGAATAAAGCCATTAATAATAATAATCATGGATTTTATGTGAGCTTATGAGTACACACATGTTGTAAAGTGTTCAGGTGTGATGAATTATTTCAATTTTTGATGGTTCGTAATACAATCTTAACTCTAGCCAAAATGTATGAAACGTCAACTTATCTTGTCAAGAATTTGCATACCTACTTTAATTATTTTAATTTGTCATACATTAGATATGCAGTTCTAGGATATGTACTGGAAATCGTCAACGATTCGTACTGATTTTGGTTTTTATCATATAAGTGTATCTAGTTTTACTCAGCTATATTCTGATTTCTGAATAACTTCATTTCTATACATAGGAGTTTTATTATTCTAACAGGGAATCTGATATTTTTCGAATATATTTCGTTGCTTTTTCGGCATTTCGACCATGAAAATATTTAGAAATGTGTGTTTGTAAATCAACTTTCTCACACTTCTTAACATGAACAACACCAAACACCTAGTGTACCTGCGATTCGGTTACATTTTTGAGACAAAAGGATGGTCTTCTAGAGAAGTAATGAACAGCTTTCATAAATCTTGCATCTACGTGGAATGTTATATCTTTATTAATTCATCAATTTCATCACTAAACAACAGATTTTAACATACTTTATTTCTAGTTTTATTGGGATTTGTCACTCACTTACGCCTGTTACCCTTCGTTGAGGAGCATAGGCCGCTCACCAGCATTCTCCTGTAGTGTCGTGCTTCATTAATAGTTCACTTCGATAACCATTATTATACCAATCTTAACGGTGTATAATATCAGAAGGCAAAAGGAAGCGGCAACTACATTTTTATTGATGAATGATCCAGACCAGAAAGTTGTAAGCACATGAGCAAATGTAAGCGAACGAAACAAAGATGATGCATAGTGGAGATGGCTGGGAAGCCAACTCGCTATGAGCAAGCATTACTCAATATTTATAATCAGACAAAAATGAATGACAGACATATGATGAATAGGATACGAAGGGTACACATATACGCTCATATAAAAAGTACTCAAGGTTAATAAGCGAATAATTAACAAGATCAAAATATGACTCATAATGGATAGGCGAATTAGCTTGGCCAGAAGCTAGAATAAAGTATATGGGCTTAACATATAAACTGACTCTACACTCCATCCAACTCTGTCCTGAGCCTTCCTTTCCAGTTCTTTTCAGTTGACATTCATCCTTTTCATATCTGCTTCTATTTCTCGAAGTAATGTGTTCTTTGGCCTTCCTCTTTTTCGCTTCCCTCCCGGGATTTGTCACAGTAAACCAATAAGCGTCCACACTAGCGTTTTACCAATTATTTTTCAATATACGCATTTTTAAATTTCATTCGTAACTATGATAATAATGTATAACGCATTGTAAATAGATAACAAACACAAAACGAAACAAAATGAGTTGATGTTTTGCCTAAAACTGACTTGTCGACAGTCATACATGAACCCGATTTATCATAGAAATATGTGTTTGATATATCCAATAGGAAAATCTTGTTGTATGAAAAAACATTAATTAATTATATTTATTACTCTTCAGTGAAATAAGAATGAGCATATTTTTGTTTTAGTCCATTCGAATATAAAAAAACAACAAAGTTATTCAGAATAAGAACATTTCAATAATCCCAAGGGTAACGAATCATCTGTGAGTACAATAAAGCCAATCATAAATTTGTCCATTGAAGTTAATTTTGATTAATCGAACTCACATTTCTTGTAATAAATATGCTTTTGTTATATCCAAATGAGTAGAAAATTTTATTACTGCTATTATTATTATCAACTATTTACACTATCTACAATTTCTTGGAAGCTATCAAGTCCGACCTTGGCATTGAAATACACATTTTTTTATCTGCCATCCAAAACATAGAAATCATTTTCCAAAATATAAAATTGGATAAAGCTAATAATAATAATAATAATAATAATAATAATAATAATTCTTTTTTCTTTTCTTTTCCCAACTTATAAGACACAATTAAATTTGAATAACCTCAGAAAATAAAATTTAAATAATTTCAGCCTTTTGTTTGGCAAATTAAACCGGCCATCAAATTTGTACTAAAGTTCAGTTAGATTTTAGATAGCTGTTGATAGAAAAGAATTTCTATTTTTAAGTTTTTAGTTTAGAAGAAACATGAACAGTTCAAAACACTCAAACGACAGTATAATATTGGGAAATGAAATTCTAAACATAGTTTGAACACGGTTTAATGCGCTTTGAGTGGATCTTTCAGTGAAACTGTGTCATTTGCTTCTTAGAAATCTTACAAATCTTTTAACACCTATGGTGATATTCCTCTTTTGTTCATTTATGGTGATATTTTTTGTTTGTTTTCACTAGTTCTATTCAATGACTACTGAACCAAACCGATAAATTGTTCATAAGTATTCTCACACCAATCGTTATATACTAAAAGACTTTTCCCCCGAATGCCCTGGTACGGCAGAGAGTGAGGAGAGTCCGCTCTCCCTCTCCAAATGCTCTCACATTGCCACGCGTATATAGCCTCTGCCAGGGAAGTCCTACTCACTGACTTCTCAAGGCGAGGGTGTTGCTTATGAAATTTAGAGGACGAAAAGCGAATGTCCGGCACTTAAGCCGGGTTGGTGGACACTGCGAGTCCACATAGGGAAGTTGGAAAACCCTCATTCCAAACCAATGGTGCATATGAGCTCCAGTATCCTGAAGGAACAAATGGCGTATGAATCAATCGTTGGTCACCAGCTACCATGGGACTACATCTCCTCACGATGCTCGACTGACTTGTGGATCAGATATTCAGGTCAAAGGCTCCGGGTGTGGTCCCCTAAGAAAACCACCTGCTTCGGTTTGGGCGCCCGGGCATTATCACAGCCCTCACACAAATCAAATGAGATTTGTGAGGTGCATATCTATCTGGTGCTTCCTTGTACCAATATTTATGTGTTTAAATAATATAAAATAAAAGACTATTTCATGTAAAAAAAAGCTATTTCATAGTTAACTTTCATTTAATAGAAGAACATAGTTAGACCAAGTGACATTTATTTTCAATGAATGATTGTGTAAACCTGTCATAAAGCATGATTAAATTATAAATAATAAACTAAACTTCGTAATAAATATTTACACATTCAAGATTTGGTCGATTGAGGCTTTTTGTAACTGACATAAAAAGTAAGTTATTACTTTAACCAGATCGATTCAAAGTTTCGTCTAATTAGTTGAACATCATAATAATTAAAATAACAAATTAATTTTATTACTAACACTAAATTACACATTCTTGTGGTTTATGTAACTTAAAATTTGAATAATGGTGTTGATTGTTATTCCAAAACAATCATTCAGTTATTTCCTGTGTATGTACAGACTTAAATCTAGCGATGTCTTTACATGTAAACATATATCCTTTGATCATTTCAAGAGGAATCGCCATTCAACATTCAATGGTTTATTTGCAACAGTGATTAGTTGTGTTTATTTACTGCGCTATCATCTGTTTTAATTATGGTTTTCACGTTAATCTTTTTTCAGCCGACCTATCTCAGCTGATCAGCCACGTTAACAGTGGTCGTATTTCATTTTATTAATTGTCCTATTAAGGCACCAAATTAAATAAAATTCTCATGACAACAAAGTATTATATATATTACCAAGCAAGTTTGTAATATTTGACATTATGAGACTAGCTACCTTATTATAAAACATAAATCAAAAGTTTCCAAGAGTATTGAAAGAATTTGAGAATTATGGCTGCTAAAGCAAAATTTTAAACTTATGAAATTTTTTTCATCTTATCTACATTTTCTGAGCAGCAAGAAGACAGTAATGTGCGGTGTATTTTCAATGTTAGGTTCTTTTGTTAAGCATAAGTTTGTTCATTTGGATTTAAGTAACAATGGTTGTGTGGCTCCTAGTGGTAACATCTTCCTGCTTAAACCGAAGTAGATGAAGAGAGATTCAAAATTACAGCCTATTGTTTAAAAGTCGAATATTTTAACCATTAAGCCACCAGTTCATATTAAGGTTGTTGACCTCTACATGGTTTTATATATTTAGTGTTTATTATTCTTTTACTATGACTGAGTTCACCTATCCTTATTTATAGTTATAGTAAGTTATACACAGCGGATTACTTTTTAGTTTTTTTTGTCTGGTCGAAGATACATTATACTAATAAATTAAATGCTTAAGAATTTAAAAAGTGTGTCAACCAATGAAATACCAATAATGTATTCTTGTTTACAA